GTTATCTTTTAAAAAAATTGACCACATGTACCAATGACCATTAGCTATCTTTATTGTTAGAAAATATGTAAGGATTTTCAGAATCAAGATAGGACATTTTCCTGCAAAACGAGTATTCCTTTAAAAAACTGTTCCTGGAACACATCATATAAAATGAAGTTTCGAAAAAAAAAAAAAAACTTTACTTTCATACCTCATGGATATGGATTCATGGAAAGGATGACTGTTTATAGAACACTGTAACCTGCAGTTTCAGTATGTGACCGAAAATAAGAAAGACATTACCGACTGCAATGTCTCTATAGAGAGGCTAGAGAAGAAGCACCGACGTCCCACCCTATGGGGCTAGAGTTTCGCAGTCAGCCTATTTCCTCACAACTACATGCACTTGTTGGAATTCAGTAATAAAGCAGAAGACATACAAAAAGCACAGGTCCGTTTCTTCCGGTTTCATGAGACAGGCCTCCAACTTGCAGCAATCCTCCTGCTTTAGTCTCAAGTGCTAGATTATGGCCATGAGCCACCATGCCAGTGCCAAGCCAGGCTTCAAATCACATTGTATTAGCTCAACATTTTTTTTTTGAGACAGGGAGACTCTCAAAAAACAAAAACAAGCGGTAATTATATTTTATTTATTCTGTGTGCATATGTGTTATGTGTGTACATGTACCATGGTGCTCTTGTGTAGGTCAGAAGACAACCTTGTAAGAGTTGGTTCATGCTTCTTATCATGTGGGTCCTGGAGATCAAAGTCAAATTGTTGGGTCTGGCAGCAAACACCTGTGCCCCTGAGCCATCTCGCTGACCCAGTGGAGTATATTCTGACCTTACTGTTTTTATACTTAGTGCCCTTCAAAAAAAAAAAAAAATCTATTAAATGTACACATTCAGAATACACTAATGGAGACATTAATGGAGACAGAATACACTAATTAGAGACACTTCATTCTTCTAATCTCACTACTAACAGTGAAAGGGGAGGATCTGGCCCCAGGGAACCCTAATTCAAATCATAGCTCTACCCTTTCTCCTGTTTCTGGGAGGTAATCAAACTACAGCCTAAGGGTATTCAAAGAATAAAAAATAAACTTGACACTATGTCAACTGTTTACTAGGTTCATAACAAATTGTGGACAGCAAGGACAACGACACTCCTGCACTTCTGTGAGCTTGCTGGATGAGCTTTCTCTAATCTAAATACAGATGTACATATGCACACATAAATAGAAAAAACAAGGAGAGGCTGCAGAGGTGGCTCAGCAAATAAGAGCACTGCTGCTCTTTGCAGAGAACCCAGGGTTCAGTTCCCAGCACTCTCATAGGGGCTAACAACCACCCTTAACTCCAGTTCCAGGGGATCTGATGCCCTCTTCTGGCCTCTCTGGGTACTGCACACATGTAGTACACTGACATACTTGCAAACAAAACACACATACAATTAAAAAAAAAAAATTTCAACTATGCTTATGTTTCAGAGGAGCAAGTCTCTCTAACGGACTGAATAAAGAACTTACTGACACTGGGAATGGTGGTGCTCCCCCATAACCCCAGCATTCAGGAGACTGAAATGCCAAGATTTTGAGTTTAGTCAGTCTAGGTTAACTAGGTGAGACCCTGGTTCCAGAAAAACAAAAAATAAAAGATTATGACAGTTTATAAAAATATTAAAAATTCTTATGGGTTTATTACTTAGAAACCAAGCAAAACAGAATAACCAGTTTAATAAAAATTCTGCCAAGAAAGGCATGGTAGCACACACCTTTGATCCCGGCACTTGGGAAGCAAAGGCAAAAGGATCTCTGTGAGTTCAAGGCCAGCCTGGTCTACATAGGGAGTTCAGGCCAGCTGGGGCTACAAGACTCTGTCTCAAAAGAACAAAAAAATTGTCACCAAACTCATGATAGGCTATTCTGCCCTTCAGTTATTTCAGGAAAGATAGTCCTAATTAGCCATCATTAAAAATAGAAAGGGGCGTTTATAGGCCTATAGTTACATGAAATTGAAAAATGCTCTAGTCAACTCACTAACTGGGGGAGGACAAAGAAGGAACTGTGTTCCCTAAGGAAAGGATCACGTGTGATTAGCATAGCTGATATCACTGACTTTTGATGCAAAATGCAAATGACACCCAAACTCTGGCAGCTAAGAACTGCAACGTGTGAGTGAGGCTCTCTCTGTGGTCAGCTTAAAGATACATGGGCACTGGAGTGCCTCTAGATAATATTTATACCAATTTCTTTAGGCCATTATCAAACTCTGGTAAGAAATCCTAGTGGACTAGAGTTCAAAGCCCTTAAGATTACTGTCCCTCAGAAACTATAGATAATATCAATTCCTCTGATTTCTCTGAACTTTTTAAAAAATAAATAATACAGCACACACCTGTAATCTTAGCACTTGGGAGGTTGGGCCTGGAGAGTTCAAGGCCAGCCTAAGCTATATAAGTGGCTGCCAAAACCCAAACACAAGAACACAAAAAGATAGACTAGACAGCACACCTTTAATCCCAGCACTCAGGAGGTAGAAGCAGGCAGATTTGTGAGAGTTCAAGGCCCACCAGGGCTGCATAATGAAAGTCTCAGGAAAAAAAA